TAACCTTGTATATGCTTGCCTTTATTGCTCAGTGCACTGAGTATAGGAGTTGGGAGGTCATGTTGCAGTTGTACAGGACATTGATTAGGCCATTTTTTGCAAATCTGGTCTCCCTGCTATAGGAAAGATTTTGTGAAACTTGGAAGGGTTCAGAAAAGATTTACGATGAAGTTACCAGGGTTGGACGGTTTGAGCTATAGGGAGAGGCTGAATAGGCTGGGGCTATTTTCATTGGAGCATCCGAGGCTGAGGGGTGACCTTATAGAGGTTTATAAAATCACGAGGGGCATGGATAGGGTAAATAGCCAAGGTCTTTTCCCCAGAGTGAGGGAGTCCAAAACTACAGGGCATAAGTTTAAAGTGAGAGAGGAAAGATTTAAAAGGCACCTGAGGGGCATCTTTTTCACACAGAAGGTGGTGTGTGTTTGGAATGAGTTGCCAGAGGAAGTGGTGAGGCTGGTACAATTGGGTATATGAATAGGAGGAGTTTAGAGGGAAATGGGCCAAGTGCTGGAAAATGGAACTAGATTAATTTAGGATACTGGTCAGCATGAACGAGTTGGACCGAAGGCCCTGTTTCCGTGCTGCACCACTCTATGACTCATTGCTGTGGGTCTGGAATCACACGTAGGCCAGACCAGGTAAGCACGACAGATTTCCCTCCCTACAGGACATCGGTGAACCTGACGGACAATTTTTCAATCAAAAGATTTTTATTCCAGATTTTATTGAATTCAAATTGCGCCATCTGGTGTCGTGTGTCACAGAACATTGACATGGGTCTCTAGATCACTGGCCTAGTGACATTACCGCCACTTCCCTTCAGTAGTGCAAAGTGCATCATTCATCATGGAGTGTGTAAATGTGGACTGTTTTAAGTTCATCTTGGACTAAACATTTACTAAAAGGGAAATCTGTATCAGTCACTATTTTGGTGAAGAGATTTCTGTGAAATGGGCCTATTTAAGGAGTTGGGATGAATGATACAAACAGTACAGCGACTCTGGGTTTATGGGCAGGAAGGTCTGAGAAATCAGTTATTGATTGATCTTCCGTTGAAGCTTTGGTAAGTTCTCGAGTGTTGTTGGAGCTACACTCATCCAGGCAATTGGGGGAGTTCTCCATCAGACCCCTGGCCTGTACCTTGTTGATAGGGACAGGCTTTGGGGAGTCGGGAGGTGACTGACTGACTTGTCTAATGCTTAACAACTTATTAAATTAGTAGCAAATGGTTGGGAGGAAAGGAGAACATGAAATTTTCCAGATACACAAAGGCCAAAGTCTATCTGGCTTCTACCATGATGGAAATCATACAATGCAACAATAACAGGAGCTTTTGTAAGAAGAACGTATTCTTTAATTAAAGAGTTGGAACAAGGTACTGTAATGATTAATCCACGATATTCAAAGGTGTGCCTCCACACATCTACAAAAATACTGAACCCAAGTGAGGGCTCATCAAACAGGAAACGTGCGGAAAATACAAAATATCACAGAGAATGTTAGCGACTGCATGAGCACTGTCCCTTCAGACACTTTCAGTTATAACTCCTGAGAGGGATGGGGTTATATCTATTCAGAATATCACCCCTCAAGTCCTGACACACGCTGTGTGTGTATGTGGTTGGGGACAGTTAATCAATCTCTTGTCTTGCTTGATCCTAATGTTGCTAAGGTAGTGGCAGAAGTACAAGATTTCTTTATTGTGATTGTCATTAACTCTTAATGTAGCAATCACTTCAGTCTCTGTGACCTCTCTGACCGCAAGATCACTGCTGTCTCCTGATGTGCAGGTCAGGTTCATTTGTTCTGAAACTCGTGAGCTTCGTGCAGTGTTGTGTACAGTATCTGAACATTCCTAAGTCCCTGTCATCTGTATGTGGAACAGGTTTGGAGCCTCTGTAGTGAGGAGAAAGACCATTCAGGCCATCCTACTTCACCCATCTTGAAAGATCACACGTGCTCCCCCTTTCCCAAATGATTTCTGCCTGAAGACTTACTTCACATATTGATCCCACTGGCTTTGAAGAGCTCTTACACACTGGGTTTATTGTTGAAAGCTGTCATTATGGTCTCTGTTGCGTAAGGAAGACTTGTATTCCTGCCTTACAAAACTGCAGCTCATTCCAAAGCGTTAAAGTCAAATACATGTGCAGTGTAGTCTTTCATGTAATGTCAGAAATGCAACAGTTAATTTGCGGATAGCATGCTCCTGCAAACAGCAGCATGATAAAAACCAGATAGTCTTGTGTTTGTGATGATGAGGGATAAATATTGTCCAATACATTAGTGATCATTCTCCTGATATGCTCCAAATTCAATCATGCAATCTCCTAGATAGCATGAGCTGCAGATGTTGGAGTCAGAGTCGATACAGTGTGGAGCTGGAGGCACACTGTAGGTCAGGCAGCATCAGAGATGCAAGAGAGTTGATGTTTCAGGTCTTAGACGCTTCATCAGGACCTCGTACCTTGTTTTGATGTCTCTTCCAAAAGCTGGCACCTGTGATGGCGCAGCGCCCTGTCAGTATGGGACTGAATCAGCTAAGGTACTTCTGCTGTAGTCTCAGACTTTTAATGAGTAGTACAGAGTACTGGATGCTAGACTTCACATCAGAGACAAGTCTGTAGTAGTGTGTGCTCCCAACACTCTTAGAACATCGACACCAGTAGCTGCATCCTGTGATGACTTCCCATTTCATTGCTCCATTTATTTTATTGCCCATATATGGGATGTGGACCAGCATTTATTGCCCATCCCAATTAAGAGTCAACCACATGGCTGAGAGTCTGGAGTCACATGTAGGCCAGATACGGTAAGGATGGCAGATTTCCTTCCCTAAGAGACATTAGCACATGGTGATCATCAGACAAACTGTTTATTCTAGATTTTTTATTGGATTCAAATTTCACCACCTGCCACGCTGGGATTCAGGCCCATGTCCAAGGAACATTAGGTGGAGGTTCAGGATTACTAGTCTAGCGACATTACCACAACATCCACCTTTCCTATCATGTCCTTCAGACCTTTCAGACACCTCCCCCCCACAAGCTGATCAGTTCTGGAGTGTTATTGTAATTATTTTGAAGGCAGATGTGACCAAATTTGTTGACGATGAGATCCCACAAGCAGCCAGTTGCCCTATTCTGGTGGTGCTGATTGAGAGAGCGAATGTTGGCCAAGACACCAGCACAATTCCCCTTCTCTTCTGGGCATCTCCCCCATTATATCCTCAGTGCATCTTGTTTACTGCTTTGAATTTGCTGACTTGAATAAACAGCTTACATTTGCATTTAGAATTTTGATGCTCAGATTGAATCTAATAGTTCATCCCATTTTGACCTTCTGGTCTAATTGTACACCACCGCATGCTCAGCCCTCAGAACGGGGCAGACAGAGACACCAGATCGGAGACTCCATCTAGAGGACAATTATACAAGAACCATTCTAAAAGGTTTCCCTGTGAAATATGTTACATGTTTCTGATTGTGAATTTATTAACGTAGCACGTGTGCCAAGAATATCTTCCAACAAAGCGTTCGCTTCATTGTATCACCCACTATTAACATCAACCTGGGGTTTATCATTTACCAGAAACTCAACTGGACTCATTGTGTAAAATCTGTGGCTACAAGAGCAGGCCAGGGGCTGGGAACACTGCAGCGAGTCACTCACCACCTTATTCCCCATTTACCTGGATGGGTGCAGCTCCAACAACACTCAGGAAGCTTAACACTATCCAGGACAAAGGAATTCCCTTCCCAAGGATGTTGTGGGTCTACCTACAGTACAAGGACTGCAGAGGTTCAAGAACCTCACCACCACCTTCTCAAGTGCAACTAGGGACCTGCAATAAATGCTGGACCCAGCCAGCGATGCCCACATTTCCACGAGTGAATAAAACAAGAAGAATGGACAGTTTTGAGGATGGGTCACCGGACCCAAAACGTTAGCTCTGTTTTTTCCTTCACAGATGCTTCCAGACCTGCTGAGCTTTTCCAGCAATTTTGTTTTTGTTTCAGCATTTACAGCATCCCACAGTTCTTTTGGTGTATATTAAGAATAGATCGTAGGCTGGGTACTGGATGATGCGTGAATTACCTCCTGACTCTCTAAAACCTGCAAGGCACAAGTGTGCTGGATGTAAATGCTCCCCACTGTCCTGGATGGATACAGTTGCAACAACACTCCAGGAGCTCAACACTGCCCAGGAGAAAACATTCTACTGAGTCAGCATCTGTATGTTACAGATCAGACCCTGGCACGCTGTGGCTGCAGTGTAGACCATCTAAAGGATGCATTACAGCAGAATACCAAAACTTCTCTGTCAGTGTCTCCCAAAACCGTAACATTCAACACCTTGAGGGATAAGGGCTGAAGAGCAGATAACACCATCGACCACACATTCTCAGCAAGACCTGCACCATCCAAACGCTATCACATTTTTAATTATTGTCATTGTGTTTTCAGTCTCTGTCTAACAGCAAAAGGAGAGTTGCCTCCCCTTCCCTCCCCACACCCAATCAAATGGATTATGGTGCCTTATGAGGGAGCGTCACCATCTCCCCACCTAGGGATGGGTGACGGTGGCTCCCAAAGGACCATACTAGGCAGCCAAGTGGCTCAGAGGTACATGAAGCCCTGCTGCTCCCAATATAGGGAATAAGAACAGATGGCCAGCGTTGCTCCCCCAGTGAATTTCTACTGGAATGTCAGGTTGTCACTCCGCCACTGGTGTGTAAAACAGAGTTTAATATTTGTCCCAGTGACACACAATGTACCTAGAATGTTAACAATCCTTTGTTTGTCACGGGTGCTCCATGTTTCTTGGGAGTTTTCCAGTATCTGCAGAATTTTGCTTTAGTTTCAAAATTTCTGAACTCCAATCGCTGTTTTTCCAAACAGCAGCAAAGTTACTGTCAGTGACGGAACTTGGCCAGCGTTTTAGGCCTTATTCCCCATTGGAGTCAATTAATTCCTCTTGGCTTTTTTCCCCACAGAAATGGGGAAGGACCAGTTGATTACTGGCAAGCAAGTGATGGAGATCAGACACACCTTGAAGGAGTGTCGGGCCCTGACCGATGAGATCTGTGCGAAGGGTCACACGGTGCAGCTTCAAGTGAGGAATGAGCGTTGGAAACAAGCCAATGGTAAGAGAGTGAACTCCACCAATGTAAGGGAATGCTCCTCATTTCTTCTTTCCCCAGGAATCCATGAGGTAATGTGTGAAAGCCACTGTGTTCCTGTAGTTGTCTTTTACATTATACATTAACATTTTGTTCTCAGGGTTAAATGTTCTTCACTTTAGCTACCCCAGCAAAACTGTGTTGTTGGCAAAATCATGCTTCAAGCCTAGTACCCGACTTGGTCATTACTGAGAGCTCCCAGCTGTATTCTGTTCAGGGATATTTTAACCTGAAATCCATTATTAACACTCAGAAGCAGGACGCTGGGAATCTGAAACAAACAGAGAATACTGGAGTTTCACTAATATTTTCTGTGTTTGTTTTTCCATTGTTGATGTGTTGCTAGAGTGCTTCCTCCCAGCAAACTAACTCCTCATCTCCAGTTAGTTAGCCTGCCCACCCCTCACTAAATGGTCAAGTCGTCATAGTCTTACCAGACCATAGGGTTGCTCCCTCAGGGGAGACGATTGGTGGCAGATTAACCTGAAGGCCCCCACACCTCAGATGAGAGGAGAGGCTGAGAAGGAGAATCCTTTGTGGTAATCTCAGCCGGTGTAGGAATTGAACCTGTGCTACTGACATCACGCTACTTCACAAACCAACCGCCCAGCCAACTGAGCTAAACCAACCCACACTGCTTCACTGCCCTCTCAAACGCAGAGAATGCTGGAGAAACTCAGCAGGTCCGGCAGCATCTGTGGAGAGAGAAACAGGTTTAATGTTTTGAGTCTGGTATGTCTCTCTCTTAGAAATCTCTTTTTATTTTGAAGTTACTTATCAAAATCAAACCAAAATTTTTATTTCCAATCTCCAAAGGCCTCTATTGTGTCTGTGGACACCACATGCTCCCTCTTGATGTATGTAACCAAAGAAATGGGGAGACAGTCAGCTACCACTACCCACTCCATGGCCAGCTGCTCAGACCTGGTGATGGTTACTCTGGCCTAACCCATGAGGAAGCGCTCCAAACCACTTCTCCCCCGCACCCCCCACCCCCAACTCCTTAACACAAGGTGTCCAGACTTCAGGAGTAGGGACCTGAAGTGCAACCAAAAGTTTAAAAGCAGCTTATTCTTAAAAAGAATCTGAACAGGGCCACAAATAAAACCACTCCACACAGCCCATTGAACACTTTATTCTAAATCCTGGCTGATCAAAGGCTGAAGTGAAGCAGATGTTTCTTTTTATAAGAATTGACTTGATGGTACGAAGCAGAGAGTAACAGTGGGAGGATGCTTGTCAGACTGGAGGCCTACGACTAGTGGTGTGCCTCAGGGGTCGGTGCTGGGCCCATTGCTGTTTGTTATCATTATCAATGATTTGGATGAGAATGTACGAGGCATGATTAGTAAGTTTGTGAATGACACTAAAACAGGTGGGTATCATGGGCAGTGAGGAAGGTTATCAGAAATTGCAGCGGGATCTTGATCATTTGGGGAAGTGGGCCAAGAAATGGCGAATGGAGTTTAATATAGTTAAGTGTGAGGTGTTGCATTTTGGAAAGTCAAATCAAGGTAGGAGTTTCATAGTGAATGGTAGGGCCTTAAGGAGTGTAGTATAACATGAGGACCTTGGAGTGTAGGTGTACAGTTCTCTGAAAGTGGAGTCACAGGTGGGGGAGGGAGGTGATGGCCTAGTGGTATTGTCACTGGACTGTTAATCCAGAGACCCAGATAACGTTCTAGGGACCATGGGAGATGGTGGAATTTGAATTCAATAAAATATCTGGAATGAAGAACCTAGTGATGACCACGAATCCATTGTCAATTGTCAGGAAAAACCCGTCTGGTTCACTAATGTCCGTTAGGGAAGGAACTGCCATCCTTACCTGGTCTGGCCTACATGTGACTCCAGACCCACAGGAATGTGGTTGACTCTGAACTGCCCTCTGGGCAATTAGGGATGGGCAATAATGCTGCCTGGTTAGCGACACCCTCATCCTGTTCATGAATAAAGAAAAAAAAGATAGACAGGGCAGTGAAGGTGGTGTTTGGCACACTGGCCTTCATCAGTCAGGGCATTGGGTACAGAAGTTGGGAAGTTTGCTGCAGTCGTACATGATGTTGGTGAGGCTGCACTTGGAGTATTGTGTTCAGTTTTGGTCACCTTGCTGTAGGAGAAACGTTATTAAACTGGAAAGAGTGCAGAAGAAATTTACAAGGATGTTGCCAGGGCTCAAGGGAATGAGTTACAGGGAGAGGTTGGACAAGCTAGGACTTTTTTCTTTAGAGCGTAGAAGACAGAGGGTGACCTTATAGAAGGGTATAAGATCATGAGAGTCCTGGATAGGGTGAATGCACTCAGTCTTTTTCCCAGGTTTGGGGAATTGAGGACTAGAGGGCACTAGTCTAAGGTAAGAGAGGAAAGAATACATGGGAACCTAAGGGGCAACTCTTTTACACAGACGGTGGTACGCATATGGAATGAACTGCCAGAGGAAGTGGTTGAGGCAGGTATATTAACAACATTTAAAAGGCGTTTGGATGAATACACAGAAAGGAAAGGTTTAGGGCCAAGTGCAAGGAAATGGGGTTAGCGTGGATGGGCATTTTGGTCAGCACGGACCTGTTTAGGCCGAAGTGCCTGTCTCTGTGCCGTAGGACTCTATGACTCTATGACTCTATTTCATTGTCACAACCTGCTGTAATGGGATTTAAACCCACATCCCCAGGGAATTAACCAGTGTCTCTGGATCACTAGAAGTGATAGTGCCACTTCTGTTTGTCATAATGGTGTTAATGTGTTGTAGTTATTTCAGTCAATCTGTTTGAATGTGCTATGACAAACCTAAACCTGAACCTTCTGGCCCAGAGGTAGGGACACTACCAATGTGCCACCGGGGGCCTTCAAAGCTGAAATTTAGACACAAACATCATCAATGAGGGCTAGTCGTTTTAATTAACCTGTTCAGCAGTGCTGTGGCACACCTCGGGGGTAGGTGGTATTTGGATCTCCTGTCTCGGAGATAGTCTCTCACTACCACTGCACCACAAGCCCCCTAAATGTTGTTAGGTTAACGTGTTCACACATATTACAGCAAATCTCTGGGGCAGGCCTTCTGGTTCAGAGGCAGGGACTCTACAGCTACACCACAAGAGAAGACTCTGTATCCTTTCTGTGCTGAGCCTAAGGGCCTGTCTAATTGGCAGTGGTGGATAAGAAACACTATTGAGTCTTAATGAGAAGAGGCACTTATTTTGCAGAATAGAATTTTATTTATTACAAAATAGCAATAGGCACAAGTCACTTCTCTGTGTAGTTATCGACAAACTATCGGGCACCACAGCAGTTACATCTGTCTCCACTGGGACTTTGTGATTATTGGATCTTCTGTGGCCAAAGGCTGGGAAATCATCTGGTTGGGTAGAGCTTAATGCAGCTCCAACATTAACCCTTTCAGTAACCTCCTCCAAGGCTAATATACCCTGTGGTATGGTACCCAGAATGCATCACGGTATTTCAGATGGTATCTGAGTGAGGCTCACTATAATTGCAGGGATTCTTATTCCACTGCACTACAGTGTTACCATGACAGCCGTTTCAATGCAATACTGAAGTGAATAATTCTTCTCTTATCCATGCAGTGAGTAGTCACCAGATGGGGTTAAGCTACTAGAGTTGATGATTTTAACTGCAATTTGTACCGTACCGTGGGCATTTTATAATTCACTTGTGGAACGTGGACATCGCTTGGGCCAGCATTTATTGCCCGTCCCTAGTTGCCCCTGAGAAGGTGGGGGTGAGCTACCTTATTGAACCACTGCAGTCCTCCTGCTGCGGTTTGACCCACAATATCTTGAGGGAGGGAATTCCAGGATTCTAACGCAGCAACAGTGATGTATTTCCAAGTCAGGATGGTGAGTGGTTTGGAGTGGAACTTGCAGGTGGTGGTGTTCCCATTTTTCTGCTGCCCTTGTCCTTCTAGATGGAAGTGGTCGTTGGTTTGGAAGGTGCTGTCTGAGGATCTTTGGTGAATTTTTGCAGTGCATCTTGTAGATAGTGCACACTGCTGCTACTCAGCGTTGGTGGTGGAGGGAGTGGGTGCTTGTGGATGCAGTGCCAATCAAGCAGGCTGCTTTGTCCTGCATGGTGTCAAGCTTCTTGAGTGTTGTTGGGGGTTGCACTCATCCAGGCAAGTGGGGAGTATTCCATCACACTTCTGACTTGTGCCTTGTAGATGGTGGGCAGGCTTTGGGGACTCAGGAGGTGAGTTACTCGCCACAGTATTCCTAGCTTCTGATCTGCTCTTGTAGCCACTGTGTTTATGTGGTGAGTCCAGTCTGAGTTTCTAGTCAATGGAACCCCCCCCCCGACTCCCCCGGATGTTGATACTGGGGATTCAGTGATGGTAAGACTGTTGAATGTCAAGGGGCAGTGGTTAGATTGTCTCTTACTGGAGACGGTCTTTGCCTGACATTTGTGTAGTGCAGAGGAAAAATATTCCTCAAATCTACAGCAAATGCTGCTAATCCTGTGGTAACATCCCAGACATTGTGCAAACTTGTCAGAGCTAAACATTTCTGAAAATTCCAAAGGCCTATAATACTCCTAGAATTGTTAAGGATTTTAAGCTACAGAATTCCACATGTTGCCTTTGTATTGAACAGATCCTTGGTCAACAGTTAAATATTTTTAACACAATTAAGTACCAAAGGAGACTTTAAAAGCTTTTGCAGGGCCGCATTCGTGATCAGTGCTGGCATCTGAACCTCTGATGTAGCCTGTAATTATAATTTGGAATCCATGCTAAACTCTTTAATTATGTTCAAGCTGTTTAATCACACATGGGTGTCCATTCTAATGTGTAAATCATCTGAAGCCGTGGATCAGCTTAAAGCTGGATCAATTCAGATACCTCGATAATTAATTTGATAATCTGAGGGTATGAATTGTAAGGAACAGATATCCATGGCTTGTGTTGCTTGAATCTTTTATGTGATTTAGTCAGGGGGAGGTGATGGCCTAGTGGTCTTAGTACTGAGACCCAGGTAATGTTCTGGGGACCTGGGTTCAAATTCTAGTGGTGGGATTCAATTTTTTAAAAAATCTGGAATTAACAGTCTAATGATGAACATGAAACCATTGTCAGAAAACTCCACCTGGTTCACTAATGTCTTTTAGGGAAGGAAACAGCCATCCTTACCTGGTCTGGCCTACACGTGACTCCAGACACACAGTAATGTGGAAGATTTGATGGGGATTTACCCAGCAAGGAAGTAGATCTGATCTACTCTTAACTGCCCTCTGGACAAGTTAGGGATGGGCAATAAATGCTAACCTCGCCAGCAAAGCCCAGATCCTGTGAATGAATAAAAGCAATTACTGATCATGGTGCTATGTTGCAAAGGAATGGAAACCAGTGCGGACCAATATAGAACACAAATAGAGCCTATGGAGAGTGAGGAAGCATGTTTTAATGGTGGTGTCGTGATGCTGGGTGTCTGCGAGTGCACGGATCCCCAAGAATAGCTTGTAACTCTCCAGATATGTACACCATCTGCATCAGCCCTAGCCTGAATGTCTCCCTTGTTTCTTGGTAGCTATACTTCAGGACATCAACTAGTTCAATCACTACTTGGGCGGCATGGTGGCTCAGTGGTTAGCACTGCTGCCTCACAGTGCCAGGGATCCAGGTTCAATTCCACCCTTGGGTAACTATCAGTGTGGAGTTTGCACATTCTCCCCGTGTCTGCGTGGGTGTGCTCCGGTTTCCTCCCATAGTCCAAAGATGTGTAAGTTAGGGTGGATTGGCCATGCTAAATTGCCCATAGTGTGCAGGCTAGGTGGGTTAGACATGGGAAATGCGGGGTTACAAGGGTAGGGGGGTCTTGGTGGAAATACTCTTTGGAGAGTCAGTTTGGATTCAACAGGCCAAATGGCCTGTTTCTACACTGTCAGGATTTTATGATACTTACTGTGATGCATATTCTACATTTCTGACAATGTGTTTCACCCATTCCAGTTCTCCATCAGTCTAAATGGTTCGTCCCTCCTCGTTTGTGACATCTTCTGTATCAAAATGCTCGCGGGATTCACTCAGCCAAAAATCACCTGAAATCCAGGGAGAGGTGGATTGCCAGATAAGAACCCAGGTAATTCTGGGGGATTCAAATCTGGAAAATTCCTCTCCGATCACTTTGGATGATCACAGTTTATCGAGGAGGTCACTCTCTCCTGGATTAATTAAAGTTTTAATTAAAAGTGATAATCCCTTTGGGGTGGGGTCGGTTAGCTCAGTTGGCAGGACAGCAGGTTTTGTGTAGAGTGATGCCTTCAGTATGGGTTCAGTTATTGCTCTGGCTGAGATTCCCATGAAGGACTCTCTTCTCAAACTGTCTTGTCGCTTGAGCATGGTGACCCTCTGGTTAAATCCCCAGCAATTGTCTCTCTCTAATGAGAGAGCATAGAAGCATAGAATCCCTGTGGTGTGAAGCAGGCCATTCGGCCCATTGAGTCCACACTGACACTCTGAAAAGCATCCCTCCCAGACCCAGCCCCCCTACCCTATCCTTGTAACCCTGCATTCTCCATGGTTAACCCACCTAGCCTGCACATCCCAACACTATGGACAGTTTAGCATGGCCAGTGCAGCTAACCTGCACATCTGTGGACTGTGGGAGGAAACCCACGCAGACACGGAGAGAATGTGCAAACTCCACAGACAATCACCTGAGGGTGGAATCGAACCCAGGTCTCTGTGAGCCAGCAGTGCTAACCACCGAGCCACCATACCACCCAGCAGCCCTACGGTCCTCTGGAACTCTGGTGACTTTACATTTATTTAGAGTTTGTCTTAGAGGTATTTAATATTGAATCAATTAAGTTCATTCTAAAGCTTAGGGCACACAGCAAGTTGGACTCGGGCAACTTTATCCTTTATCTCCAACCCATGGATAATTGAGTCAGCAGTCTGGTCCACTGTTGACTGGGGAATCAGTATTTAGGGGCACAGTGGTAGAATCCCTATCCCTGGACCAGGAGGCCCAGATTCGAGTCCCACCTGCTGCAAAGGTGTGTAATATCATGTCTGAACAGGTTGATTAGAAAAATAGGTTAAATTTTAAAAAAAATTTAATCTGACTTGCCAATACACAATTTGAAATTCTGCTTCCCCTTCCTCCCTAACCTATTATATTCAAACATTAACCTAAGTAATCCATTCCTTCATCCCCCAGTAAAGAAGCTCTGTTCAAATCGTTCCCCAATCTAATAAGAATGTGACATATCCACTTTGTAAGTTTATTATGGTCATTAAGCTGTTGTAAACTGAGGAGCTAACCTCATGGCTCACGTCAACATTCCACCAAAACCCTCAATATCTCCAATATACGACCAGACCAAAGTACTGGGACCTTGCCCCAGACCCTTGTATAAAGACAAAATCAAATGAAGGCAAAGATTGGTTCAGCATGTTTAACATTCAATCTGTTGAGATTTTGAGGTGTCTTCCAACCCCATCCTGAGTTAGTTAAGTGCCTTCCAACACTGTTTCACTATTACAGCCACCTCCTCCAGTCCTCCCACTCTCTGGGATCGCTCTGCTCCTCGAATTCAGGCCTCCCACGCATCATAAACTTTTATTACCCCATTGCCACCTTCAATTCCTTGGATTGAAATCCCTCCATGAACCTGACCGCATCTTAACCTCTCCTCAGGACCTCTGTTTGGTCAGGTTTCTGATCACCCATCCAAATACATCCCTTTGTAGCTTAGTATCACATTATCTCTGACGATGTATCTCGAGGAATTCAAGTTCTGATGAGGAGTCATATCAGACTCTCTCTCTGTCTCCACAGAAGCTGCCAGACCATCTGAGTTTTTTTTCCAGCACTTACTGCTTTTATTTCCCAGTATCTGCAGTTCTTTAGTTTTGTATCTGTGCAGGTTGTCGTTGAAACAATTTTCCTTGAAGGAAAATCATCTAATGAAATTCCGGTAGTTTTGCATGTCCCTCTCTCCAATGTTCCCTGGTATATCAAGGGATCTGGGTCACAGTGTTCAGCTGAAGAGTTGCCTTACGTTTTATTTCGGTGCCTTTCCCTAGAGCTGCCCAAGAGAAGGACCATTTGGTTTCCCTGTGGTGTAGCAGTGGAGTTAAGCTGCAGTGCTGTATTCTCCAATGTCATGATTGTCTATGCCAACGTTAAGACAAGGCCCTCCGATATCACTGAGTGTAAAGTCTTCCTACGGAAACCAGAGGTAAGTGACGGCTGCCAGAGATTCCATATTGTCAGGGTCTTCAGTGGATTTCAAGGGACATTTAAGGAAAGACTTGCGAAGATTGTATTGATGAGGCCTACTAACATTGGGACAAATAAATATTTGTCCCTTGATTGTGATTGATTCCTGTTTTCTTCAATTCAGAGCTTGTCTGATTGTTCACACATCACTCATCATCCTCTTGTGACAACCCACTGAGAATTGTGGGATGGGGATAGGAAGGCTTTTGTTATTGGTGTTGTGTGTAGGGGCATCGGAGTCACGCAGCTATTGAGTGGTTGAGTGCTTTACTGCACTTGACACTCAGAGCAGCTTTTCCTGAGTATGTGTGGATGGCGATTTATTTCCTCCCCCC